GAGGAGAAGGGATTGCTGCATGGCCATCCTCCCTGGGGGGTGATTTCTCTCTTTCTGTCTCTATCACTCTGTGTCTTTCCTATGAGTGCATGTGCCCTATAGCAAAAAATCTCTAAAAAAATTAATTAATTAATATCTATATATCTATATGTATATTTAGTTGATTATCGGGTGCATTCTTCCCAGAGAGAAAGAAAGTGAGAAATTTCCCTCTGGGGTCCATGGCCATGCCACAGTTCCTTCTCCATTCTTCTCTTGGGATTTTGGGCACTCACACTCATGCACTTGTGTGATTTTCAAGCCTCCAGGCTGATACTTGAACCGCACAGTTAGCCATGTGGGATCTAGCTACCTTAACCTCCATGCCACCTACTGACCCCCATTTTAATTTTCAGTTTAAACAATTTTTTAAAAATTGTCAACTGGTGTGTGCACTCACCAGAGAGAGAGAAAGAGAGAGAGAAAGCACCCCCCAGTGGGGTTTGATCACACTGTAATCCTTTTTTCTCCATTTCTCCATCCTGTCAGGATTTGGGCCATGCATGCACACATGCTTAGTGTGGTTTTCAAACTGCTGGGGCTGGAATTAGAACCGTGGTTGGCCATGTGATATCTGACTCTCAATCCATATCACTATGACACTGGCTCTTAATCTTTCTTTTGAACATTGGCCCCTTCTGAAGTTGCAATTTTCATCCATTAATTGTTCATGCATCCATTTAACAAATGATTTAAGGCTTATTTAATTATGTCTTCCATGAGACACACATTCACACACACAGAGAGGGAGGAAGGAGAGAATGAGCGAGACAGAAATAGGCACCCCTAACAGGGTCCCTACACCACATTCCACCCAAGTCTCACCCAACTTGGACCATGCACACACATGCCCTGTGTGCTTAGGGAGTTCCAAGACATGAACCCAAGACCTGTTCCATGTGGATCCACTTGTCTCCCCACTGTGCCACCACTTGGCCAAAAAATAAGATTATCAATGCTTAATTTGTGCCAGACAGTGTTCTGTTCTCAATATATACATCAATAAATAAAACTGACAGAGATCCCTGCTTTCAAATAGCTTACATTCTAACAAGAAGAGACAGACAATAACATAAGAAAATTATATAATATGTTAGACAGCAACAGCTGATATGGGAAAAAAAAAGTTGCCTAGCAGGATAAGAAGGAGTTAGAGTGGACTTCAGGTGAGGGTGTAGTTTTTGGATCTAAGTTGTTGCTAAGTCTGGCTGCTCTTTTCCAGATCACCTTATTCCACTACTCTCCTGACTTCCTTAATGATCCTCTCCACAGTGGGGCCAGGCTTCACCCCCCAGTTTCATCTGCATATTCAGCAGTTTGACTTTGATATCCCTCCAATACTCAAGAACTTTAAGATTTCTCCCTGCCCTGGCCTAAATGGCAAAAATACTATACCCTTCTGCCTGGTTTTTTGAGGCCGCCTGCCATCTGACCCAGCCACTCCTGCCTGTCTGGTCACCTTTCTGCAGGTTCCTGTGCTACTTGGTTTTACCAGTTGGGGTGCTTTTGTCCATGCTGCCTTGAGGGCTGCTTGCTCACACATCTGAATTTCCTTCAGTATAAAAGCCCTGTGGTAGGACTGGAGACTCAGACGAATTACGCTTGGTCTCTGTCCTTGAGATGGTCACAGCCCAGGGTGGAAAAAGGTGTTCTGCAGATACAAGATATCTTAACAGTTGTCTCAGAGTTGTCCTCTCCCTGGTTTGTAGCAGGAAGGCCCTAGGGAAGGGGGTGCGAGGTGCTGGGTAGAGAGCCCTGAAGAATGACAATTAGAGTTCCTCAGATAGTTGGGTGGAGAAGGGCACTGCAGACAGATGCTTTTCCCTCATTCACAGTCTGCATCCCTTGAGGGCATCTTCATCTCTTGCTTTGTATTTCCCATCTGCCCTAGCAGGCCATTTGCCAAGATTAGATGTTAAGAAATGCACAGAAATCATTTGAAGCTCAGGGAGCAGTAAAATATGAGGCTCAAGGGTTCAGATGAGGCCAGTTTTTGGAAGACTTGCTTGCTTGGGCTTGATCCAGCCAGAGGTAGGATGAGTAAGACCAAGATGGAAGAAGATGTTCAAGGAAGACATTTGTCCTCTGCCCACAATGGATCCATATGCTTTGCTCCTGGTGGGAGCTCAGGGGCACTGAAAGGGGCAGAGTGCCTGGGAGTGGGCCACAGAGGCATGGTCCTTCTGCATTGACATCGCAGGAAGACATAGATCACAGAGCTAGCTTACAGGTAGAGTGGGGACCAGAGCCCATGCCTCTGTTGTGTTGGAAACTCCAGTCTTTGTACTCTCCCGAGTGAAAGCAAAGTGAGATGCACGAGTGGAAGTGTTTAACAGCACTTTAAGGTGAAGGAGATCACTACCATAGGGGAAAGTTGGCTGATCCAAGAATCAGAAATGTTGAGTCCCTTAGCCCTTGAGTACGTTACAGAATTTTTTTTTTTATTTTTTAAGGCTTTTGCCATAGAGCATGTGCACTTGCCAGCGAGACACAGGGCGAGGACAAGTGAGAAATCACCCCCCAGGAGGACAGCCACACCATAATCCCATCTCCAGACCCCTTCTTGGATTTTGGGCATGCATGTACACATGCCCAGTGTGAGTTTCAAGCCACTGGATCTGGGACTCAAACTGTGGTCAGCTCTGTGGAAGTCCAGTGCCTTAACCACCATGCCACCTCCTGGCCCCTAGAAATTGTTGATTAGGGCCAGCTGATGTCATGGAGGTTAGATGGCTCGATCCCACATGGCCAACAGTTTGAGTCCCAGATCTGGTACCTTGAAAAACATGTTGGGCATGTGTTCATGAATGCTGAAAGTACTAGGAGGAGAATGGAGGAGAAGGAGTTGATGTGGCCATCCCCCTTGGGGGAAGGGGATGGATTTTTCACTTTCCCTATCTTGCGCTCTTATTGGCACATGTACATGCCCTATAGCAAATAAATAAATAAATAAATAAATAAATAAATAAATAAATAAATGTCTTGAGTAGAACTAAGATTGTGAAAGTCCTGCTAGTTCTGAAAACTAGGAATACAGGAAGGAGGCAGGGGCAAAACCTGGCTAAGAACCCAGACTTATTTCTCAGTGTGACGAGAGATGTAAGGATCTCTATAAGCTTCAGTTTCCTTACCTGTAAAATGGTAATAAGATAATCAGTTTTGAGACTGCTGAGTGGGCATAAATGAGGTAATACTGTGATGATTTAGCAAAAGGAAACAAAATAAGCACTTTTTAAATGGGCATATTTCCCCTCCTAATTGTCAGGGAGCATGTGCACTCCCTAGATACAGAGATAGAGAGGGGGAAAAAATCTTTTCTCCTCTGTTAAATAGATATCTTTTTTTTTAAAAAAAATCAAAGATTGGGCCTTGGGAGAGAACTGGTTTACAGGGGCTGACCTGGAAGTCACTGGGGTGTAATGCAGTGTAGTATCTGAACAGACACGAGCTCAGAGAGAGCATGATACGAGGAGGTCCAAACTTTGGGGGTCAGTCAATTTAGGAGGCTAGAGGAAGAGGCAGAATCAGTATAGAAAGTCAGGCCTGGGGTGCAAAATGGAAAACCAGGGAAGTGCTGAGTCCCTGAGGCTCAGCAGGAGAGCAGCAGGGAAGGGATGCCTGGACAGTATGGCGCTCAGTGCTGTCACTCGGGAAGTGGGGAGGAGCAAAGGCCTGGCCTTGACTGGGCAGAGCGGGAAGGTCTAGGGTAGAGCTGGGGCAACCTCCCCTGCCCTCACTGATGCCGTGTTCATGTCTGTATCGTCTAGGAGTAGATGTGATTAATGGGGCCCTAGAGTCAGTCCTGTCCTCCAGTAGCCGTGAACAGTGGACCCCAAGTCATGTCAGTGTGGCGCCTGCTACCCTCACCATCTTGCACCAGCAGGTAAAGGGCATAGTTGTGGCTTGCCATGGGGGGAGCTTGGGTGAGGGAAAGAGCACCAAGAAGGTACCTCGGTAAAACCCAGGGCAGGGGGTGGGGAGGGTGTTCCTTTTAACTGGGTTCCCCTCTCCAGACAGAGGCAGTGCTGGGGGAGTGCCGGGTACGCTTCCTCTCGTTCCTGGCTGTGGGCAGAGACGTCCACACTTTTGCATTCATCATGGCTGCTGGCCCTGCCTCCTTCTGCTGCCACATGTTTTGGTGCGAGCCCAACGCGGCCAGCCTCTCAGAGGCCGTGCAGGCTGCCTGCATGGTAAGTGGGTGGGGTGGCGGGGTGGGAATGCGACCCAATGTGAAATAGGCTGTGAGTAACTGAACTGCGTACCTGCCTCTCTGCAGCTCCGCTACCAGAAGTGTCTGGATGCCCGCTCCCAGGCCTCCACCTCCTGCCTCCCAGCACCCCCTGCTGAGTCAGTTGCCCGGCGTGTAGGGTGGACTGTCCGCAGGGGCGTTCAGTCGCTGTGGGGCTCCCTCAAGCCTAAACGGCTGGGGGCCCATACCCCATGAAGCAGCTCCTGCCCTCCCTCCACCTGCTTGTGTTGGGCCCCAGGGAACTCAAGGGTGTGGGGTAGGGAGGGGATCCAGAGGCTATTCCTAGGCCTCAGGCCCTCAATAGCAGCCCTTGCCAAAAGCTAAAGTTCCCTGCTTAGGGGCTGGGGAGGGAGTTCCCTGCTTAGGGGCTGGGGAGGGAGAGCTCTAATCCCTTCGAGGAAGTGATAACACTGAATTGATAATAGGAACAAGAAGCAAGGCCAGCCTGGGCTCTCCATTCCCACGTGTTTCAGGTGAGCGGAGGAACTGGTCCCTGCCAGTCCCTTTCCTCCTAGGGCCCAGCAGGGGCAGAGGTGGGGACTGATCCAGGCATGGGTCCCCTCCCCCCTGTTCTGTGGGCACCTCCGCTGCACTGATATCACTAATAAAGTCTGTCTGCGCTGCTGTGTCTTCCTGTGCCTACACTTACCATCAGGCCTTGTTCTCAAGACCCCCTTCCCTTGTGTGGAAAGAAGGGACAGTCACAGAGGGATCTGGAGTCAAGTTTTTTTTATTTTAACAGGCTGGCGAGATCAGCTAGCAGCAGCAATACAGGGTTCCTGGCTGGGCAGCCCAGGCCTGGGGGACAGCTCCTGTGTGGTTAGCCTAGGGCAGTGTCAAGTGAGGCCTCATCTCCATGGCCACTGAAGGACAGCTGCCAGCGCAGTCTCGATGATGGGGTCAGGCAGAGCAGTCAAACCCCCACCTACATCCAGCTGAACCAGCTCCAGCCAAAGGTCCTGTGTCCTCCAGCGCACGTGGGGCCCAGACATGGGCTCTTTCACTGGGCATTCTTGCCAGGGTGACCCACAGGGGTGCTCTGGTTCCTTAGCTCCTCTCTGAAAGACCCAGTCTTTCTTAAAACACGGTGTTACCAACTCCGGACCCTCAGGTCCTAACAAAACAGCGGCCGAGGCTTCAGGCTCTGGAGGTCCGCGAGTCTCCCTTCCGGCAGCAGGTGGCGGCAGAGAGCAGGGCTGTCGGAGCGGGCGGACAGCTGAGCGCACAGAGTGGCGAGACGGCAGGGCGCGCCGCAGGGCTCCGTGGGCGGGTGGCCTTTGTGGTAGAGAAACCAGAAGGTCCGGAAGAGTCCCGTGTCGTTTCGCATGCGGTACACCAGGTCGTGCCAGGCAGCAGGCAGTGCGTTGGGCAGTCCATAGGTTTCTCGTGCTCTGTAGAGGCGCTGCCAGCGCGGGGTGGCTCCAGGCGCATTCGCCTCAGTCAGGTTCAGAATGTAGGTCTCATGGTCCAGGACCACGTGAGAGCTCTTGGGGTAGTTTCCATCTATCTCATAGACGCGGTAACCTGCAAGGAAGGAGGAGGGCAGACTGGAGGAGTAAGGAGCAAAGGCAACTCCAGGAAGTGGCCACACATCCTTCCGGCCCCTTGCCAGCTTTGGCTCAGATGCCCTCCCTTTAGCCCCCCACCTCCAGGATCAGGGAGCCTCCCTTGCACCTCACTCACCAGGATTAAGGCTGATGTAGGTGGTGGCACTGGGTGCCACGAAGGCTACCCCCAGCGGCCGGCTCAGGGTCTCCTCATCATAGAAGACCTCGAACTCATCCACATGAGTGTGGCCAAAGAACTGACCAGCCAGCGTGTTCTCATACCTGGACAGAAGGCACTAATTGTGTTCAGAAGATTCTAGGGAGGGGGAGGAAGAGATCTGGGGAGGAAGGATGCCCTTTCTCCAAGTAAGGAGCCTCCCCCACCCCTTGGGCCGCAGAAGTGTTGAGATGCTGGCGGAAGGGTTCAACCTTTAGACGCTTCATCCCCTCACCCCCAGCCCTGCTCCCATCCCCAGCTCCCTCCTACCTGGCTACTATTCGGTAATAATTCCAGCTCCAGCTCTTCAGGCAGTGACCTGGTGGAATGTGGCCAATTATATGTACCTAGGGGCAGAGATAAGGGTGGTTATCAGGGCATCGAGGGGTCCAGATCACCATGATCAGAGAGCAGGGAGTGAATAAATGAAAGGGCTTTCACAGATGGCCATGAAGGAAACCCTGAGGGAAGACTGTTGTTGCCAGCCCCAGAAAATCAAGCTTTGTTCACTGATGTTCCTGGTCCAGGAACCTTCTCCACCGCCACCCCAGCAGCACACTCCATGCCCCTCCACTCTCCCTCACTTTGTCCCCTCGATCCTCAGCAGCCTGGAGCTCTCCCACCAGCCACTGGAGCTGTCCAGCCGGATCTGTGGAGTTGATCAAGAGCCAGAAGTTCTCACGGGAACAAAAATTCATATTGAGAGAGATGAGGCGGAGGCCAGGGCGGGGGGAAAGGGCATAGAACCCCCCGATTCTGAAACAAAGTGAACACAAGAGGTCAGCACTTGTTCATGATCCCAGTCCTGTATGTGCAATGTGCTGGGCTTGTGGGTGGAGGGCACAGGCATAGGTGACATCCTCCCCACCCTCAGAACTCATGTTCTAGCAGAAGACCAAGTGCACCAATCATAGGGCCTAGGCAACAGAGGGGCTCAGATCACGAAGAACGCTACAGTTGAAAGGAGTAATGAAAGTGAGTCAGACTGGGACAGAAAGTTGTTCAGCTCTGAAGGAGGCTGGCTAGAGACAAGGCTAGAGAGGGAGACTGGGTCAGAGGGAGGGCCAGCAAAGAATGATCAGAGCTAATGCCTGGGTTCCCTTTTCTCTCATTTCCCTCCAACTTTCTCTTCCCTTCCTGGGCGGTAGGTACCTGAGGGTGCGCAGGGCCTCAGGAGGCAGCCAGGACTCCCACGCCTGGGCCATGGCCTCATAGAGCCAGCGGGAGGAGTGGTTGCCCTCTATGAAGGGGGGAGGGAAGCCATTGACAGGCGTGCTCTCATGGTTGCCCACAGCAGGGTACACTGGCACTGGTCCCAAGAACTTCTTCACGAGGGCTGTGATGGTGTTCAGGGCCCGCAGCTGGTCCTGACGAGACTGGTGCCAGATGTCATGGGCAGGGATGTCTCCTGTCCAGTACACCATGTCAAAAGGGCCGGCTGGGCCCAGCCCTCTCAGCATGCTCTCCAGAGTCCGCAGGGGCAGGTCACACTTGCTGTACTCGCCCCAGTAGCCAGCACCTGGCTGGGAGGTGGGTGGCGGGCCAGAACCCCGGCGGCAACACAGAGGGTCTGCACAGTTAGGGTCAGTACCCTCCTGGTAGTCATGATCCCAGTGCAGGTCCGTGAGGAAGAGGACACGGCTGACAGGGGCACCTGGGGCTGGTGGGCTGGGCGGCTTGGGGGGTGGCTTTGGCACAGCTGGCAAAGAGATGTTCCAAGAGGAGAAGATGTCCCAGTGCCCACAGTTGGGGCCCAGGAGCAGGCCACAGACCTCAGATGGGCTCAGCACTGAGTGTGTCCACACCTCCACCATGTCATCTTCGAAGAGCCGGACAGCCGACTGACACACAGCAGGTGGTGCGATCTTCAGCAGCTCACACAGTTTGATGGCCACAGAGCCCACACGGGCCACATTGGGCTCCTTCTGTGGTGGGAAGAACCAGCAGCGAGAGGTCAGAGACAATGCAGGGGAAGTAGGCCAAGCCTGGCCACCACCCCAAGCCACCTCCATACCCAGTGCCACTTGGCCGAGAGACCTCAGCTCACACCCTGCCTCCCAGATACTGTCCTATGGCTCAGGTAGCACCAGGCTATTACTGCCTCTTCAGGCTGCTGGACAGTGGCATCTCCAGCCTTTGCTTGACAAGCTGGCTGTCTCAGGCACTGTCTGCATGCTTTCCTTACTTCACAAAGGTTACGATAGGTGGTAGTAGCCCGGTGTTTCCAAAGAGGACTATACTTAGTCAGGGCTAGTAGATGCCACTCACTGTCAGGGATGCAACCCGACCACAGGGCACCATGTGAGCCACAGCCCTCACCCTCAGCGTTCCCCTTTGGCCCTGGTCCACCCAAGCCCCTTCAGTGCTCACCTTCAGCCCGAAGTTGATGGTGGTGAATAGAACTTTGCAGGCTGGGCAGGTGAGGTTCCACCACCCAAAGGCAACCTTGAGCTGGGGCACAACACGATTGAACCAGGCAGAATGGCCGTGTGCAGGCAGAGGGTGGGCCACGGCTGGGGTCCAGAGCACCAATGAGTCAGGAAGAGCCAGCACCAGCACGAGGCCCAGACCCATCCAAAAGAGTCGCGGGTTGGGGGTCCCTGAGGCCCTGTCGGACCCGGGGTGACTTTGACGGGGTGACACTCCGTGGCGGCCCATTGCTGGACTTCCTAGACGGGGCTGGTTCGCCTGTCCGGTCCCCACTGGCCCAGGCCTTGGCAGGCCCTGGGGACCCCCGGTGGCGCCAGGGACAGCCAGTTACCCTTTGCTGTAGTCGGCTGACTGATCCGCGGCCAGCCGCAAAGCAGCTCCGCCCCTTCCTCTTCCTCTGCTCCGCAGCAGCTGATCGAGGCGGCGGGGAGTCCTGTCAACTAGGTGGAGGCGGAGCGGGCGGGGCGCACCCCGGACCGCCCAGGATCCCGCCCCTTTGGCCCCTCCCCCGCCCGCCCCAGACCGAGCGGGCCGCGGGGGAGGGTGGACCCGGCGCGCGGTGACCCGGGCACCGCCCTGCGCCGGGAGTCCCAGGAGGCCGCGCTAGCCGCGGCGCTGTGCTTCGTGCGCAGGGCTGGCGTGGCTG